CATCATCATACAACTTTTTCTTACCAAATTTACAAATAAACTACACATTTTACTTTGATTCATAGTAATATATGAGGGGTTCTTGTAAACATCTTACACAAAATAGTATGTTACATTTACTAATGATTACATGAGGTTAAGTTGGGTGTATTTAACGAAAGAAAAATCTGAAGTAAAAACAAATTTCAAAAATTTTTACACCATGATACAAACATAATTTCAAAAAATATTCAAATATTACGGAGTGATAATGGTTAAGTATTTCAAAAATATTTTGGGTCAATTTTTTTTTCCGAAAGAAAAATTCATCAAAACTCTCTCCACAATAAAATAGTATAGCTAAAAGAAAAAACAAACACTTATTAGAAATACCTCAAGCATTCTTATTTACAAATCAGGCGCGAAAATAAACATCCCTCATTAATAGAACACCCAATAAAATATTGAAAAAAATCAGCTTTCAAATGATTTACTGTTAAAGATATTTGGGTCGATTGCATTTGTTTACATTCATACAACAACAACAACAACAAAGCATTTGTTTACATTCATGATCATAATTATTGAAAACTTGAATCTCAAGCCATAAAATATATTTGTTGGTTATGCTCAATATTTATTTCCATGGATGTCACTTTTTGAAATTACAAATTTTTTTTTCATCTCATCTTCAGGAGGGACAAAATAAAGATTCAACTACAGATTTTCAAGACTTTCTTCAAGCTAAAGAATAACAAAATAATATCCTACCAATCGTAATTGTTCAACCTGAAAATTCAAGTTATATTATATCAGAAGAAATTGAGTCGAGTCATTTAGATTTTAAAGACGATTCGGATCTTTTTACAATGAAATCTCAAGATGTTCATAATCCTATAACAACTAACAAAGAGTAAACAAAAAATGAATTACGACATTAGTACCATACTACCATTTGACATTGTCTACTCGTAACAAAGGACAACTCAAAAGAAAGAGTCTATGAATCTTTTGCATTGCCCAGAATCTATGAATCATTCAAATAATATCCTCACTAAGCCTTTAGGATCAATCAACTTTATTTCCATGTCCCAAGTCTTTTAGTCACGAACCTAAGTCTAGCCCTAATCCTAAATTTAATGATTCCGTGAAAATGTGCATTTGCATTACTACATCAAAAAGGTACAAAAATCATGCATCTATGCATCTCTGATGTATAAAAAAGAGACATATCATCTACAAGCACGGTATACAACTCCCAATCATCCTCTACATGCATAAAAACAAATTTAATGATTTAAGTTATACCATTGGTGATTGTAAGGGGGTGAAGCCTTACACCCAACACCCTTACAAAACTCGACTAGTTGCCAAGGAATTCACTCAGACCTATAGCAATGATTTCTTAGAGACATTCGCACCCGTAGCAAAACTGAACTCTATAAGAGTCTTGTCACTTGCAACTAATCGTAACTGAACCCTACAACAGTTAGATATAAAAAATGCATTTCTTAATGAGGAACTAAAGGAAGAAGTGTACATGAAGCTACGTCCAGGATTTAGAGAGAAGTTCGACACAAAGGTGGTGTTTCCCAATGGAAGTATGATCTTGTTGTTTACCAATGGAAGTATGATCCTGATCTTTTAAAGGAAATAAGAATGAGTAATTGTAGGACTACATACGCTTCAATTGATCCCAATCAAAAAACTAGGAAATGAGAGTGACCCAGTGAATATAGCTTGATATCAAAAGTTGGTGAGAAAGTTGTCATATATTTATCACATACTAACACAATCCTCAGTCATTTCCAAAGTTTTAAAAAGTCGAAGCATAAAACATGTGTTTGATCTTTATGAAGAATGAAGAGGCTTCAAAGCGCAAAGCATAAGCTTCAAATTAAGTAGAAATAAATTAAGGAATCGTTAAAAATAATAATTTTCATACTTAATAAAATACAAATTTTACTATTTTAATTCGAGTTTTATTAATATAACACATCAAAAAATAATCACTTTACAATGAAATTATTTATGAAATTAATATATCCCTTTGTCTTGAAATAATTCAATTATAATAAACAAGTATCATGGAGCAAGCTTACAACAAACTTAAGGTATAATAAAAGAATGTGTGATGCTTTTAAAATCAAATTATAGGAATAATTCTCTGTTTAAATAGACAAGACTAATAAAAATTAGTGTTGCGCTTGAATAAATATAGAAGCGAATAGGACAAACAATTCAAAAAAAAAAAAGAAGAGGATGATGGAGAAAGTGTTAGATAAGGTGAGGTGAAAGACTAGACCTAACAAAATGACAAAAAAGATGATGACATAGAAATGTCATTTAAGCTTTTTTAATATTGAGATTTCAAAAGGAAAGCTTGGTATAGATAAGAAAAGAACCCCCCTGGTTTCATTAATGTAACCCCCAAAAAAAAAATAATAATCACATTAAAATGAAGTGAGTTATGAAATTAATATATCTATTTGCCTTGAAATAATTCAATTATAATAAACAAGTATCATGGAGCAAGCTTACAACAAACTTAAGGTGCACATAAAGAATGTGTGATGCTTTTAAAATCAAATTATAGGAATAATTCTCTCTTTAAATAGAGAAGACTAATAAAAATTAGTGTTGCGCTTGAATAAATATGGAAAGGAATAGGACAAACAATCCAAAAAATAAAAAACAAATAGAATGAGGTTGATGGAGAAAGTGTTAGATAAGGTGAGGTGAAATACTACACATGACAAAAAGACAAAAAAGTTGATGACAAAAATGTCATTTAAGCTTTTCTAGTATTGAGATTTCAAAAGGAAACCTTGAGAACAGCCCCCCCCCCCCCTGCCCCCCCAAAAAAAACTTTTTTTCTCTTTAAACAATTTTATTTTATTTCCCTTCCCTTCGAATAGCATATAAAGTTAAATTATTTTATCAAAATTCAAAAAAATCTAAAGCTTAAGTTTTTCTTGCTTCAAAACCATAATGAAGTACATGCTTCAAATTTGAAAGCTTATACTTCATAGCAAGAATGCTTTGCTGTTCATTCATACTTCAAAGTTTTTTGGGAATTGGGACTACTTCACTTCGAAATGTGTTTTAAAGCGCGTGCTTTCTTAAACACTGGTTATTTCTTCATCTATAACTCGATTAAAAATTTTGTTTTTTAATAATATTGAATGAAATATATTAATATCACGTACTAAAATGCATAAAAAAATGCAATCATTGGTCCACGAATTATACATTCTCTATTTTTTAAGCATTTTCTCTATTATTCTATTTTTAATTTATTTCACTGCATTTCTCCTCAATTAAACTTATATTATCTAAAAACAAAGCACAAATCGAAGCATCTCACTTTGAATGTCCTTTTTAAGCATCCCTATTACTAGTATCGAAAGATAAAGACTCAATGATGATGCTTGTAAACATAATGCAACCCTTCAATTTATTCAACCACCACTTCTAATACTATCCAATGCTACATCATGCATCTTTTTAATATGATCAACGTGCCTTTGACACAGCCCTTTATCTTAAAGCGCATCAATTCATTTCTCCCACTAAGAAATCATATGTCATTTCAAAATTAAAAAAACCATATGATGTTATTTATTTGACCCAATACTTCTGCATTAATTGTCTTAACATAAAAATTATTTGGATCTTACTGGCATGAAACAGCTATTAGCAAGGTCCAATAATTCATCATATGTATTTTTAATAAGATTAGCATACCTTTGACACATCCTTTTACCTTAACATAGACCAAATCAGTTCTCATGATATTCAGTCATATGCCTTCTCTAGCTAAATAAAAATCAATTATTTAACTACTTATGATACTATTCAGTGATCTATCACACAAATCTTTAAAAAAGGTCAATCATTAACAAGCCTTCCTACCTCAGTGAGCAACATATCAATTCTCATGGTACGCAATCACATGCTTACTCAAGATTAATAAAAATCATAGGAAGCTCTTTTATTTTCTTTCTAAACTTCTCTGTCAATTACTTAACACAGAAATAGCTTTGATAATAACTCTTACAATCTTACTGGCATGAAAACTAAAGTGTATCTCCAAAATTAACATAATATATATAAGCATATGTTTCATTACTCTGTCTAACAAGTTCATTGAATGACAAATAAATTTAACATCTCTATAGTTAGCATAATTTAGATCATCACCTTAATTGTTAAATATTGGTACCAAAAGTTTTCATCATCTTGGCTTTCAAAACTCAATTGAAAAAACTCTATATTAATACCCCCAACAACTCAACAAATCAAAACAGGTATCTCATATGAATTTAAAACCTTACTTTACATCAATTACCTTTAAGACAAAAAAGGTAGGTTTTAATTTTCAAAGCACAAATCAATACTCATAAATTTAGTCAGCTATTCAGTCAGTCAATTATCCAAGACAGTTTTCCTACTTAAAAGTAAAAAAATAAACATACTTCAATAATCTTCCAATTGAACAAAGCATCGTGTTATTGACCCATAGTTTTTCTCACTTACTATTAATCAAACCTGCTTATTTTAAATTCTCATGCAAATCATCAAACTAACAAACATCATCATTAGAGTGAATACACATTATGACGATATAAATCCCGATTTCTTAGTCATTAGAGCACGTACAAGATGCTAAACACTTCAATATCAAAAACAATGCTGAGGCCTCCTGGATAGAGAACTTTCAACTTTATGTCTAAAAAAAATGATAGGAATCATTCCAACTATAAAGAGATAGAAATAAGCATATAATAAACTAATAAACTCAAAAATCACAATATCATATAAGAAAAATAATATAAATTCTATTAAATGGCTGAAAGAAAACATTAACTCGTTCAATCTACTAGCTACCCTGGCCAAAGAGAAAATCGTGAGCTAGTAAACTTCTTATAAATGCCCGCCGTAAGCTAAGAAGAAAATAAAACCTTACCAATAGTAACCAACTTAGGGGAAAGTATAAAATTTAATAAGAGAATACTTACGGAACAAAAACTGCATTATATTCTTGTTCAAGGCAGATGACACAGATGTCAGGTATTAGTTGGTCCCTTTTTGCATTATCAGGTGATGCTGCAGGCTTCTCATCTGAATCAGCAAATCATGAACAAATGATGCGATGCAAAAAAAATAAAAAAAGAAAGAAAGCAAATGATCATTTAATCTAGGAACACTTACCACCAGTTTCCTGCCCTTGTCGTTGGGCAGCAGCAGCTAGAACCCTGATACACATGTAAATTAAAAAAAAAAAAAAACAGTTTAAGAAAAGAAAACACTAAAGGCAGATCCAATGAGACGGCATAATATATCTGCAAGCGTATCATTTCAGAAAGTATTTTTTTTTATCAACTCACTAAAATAGTTGGAATTGCCCTAACTAAATACAATAGTTACCCGGATTTGTATCCATATGAAAACTCAATTTTAACAGTTAATCTTTAAAATCATCAATCAACAACATTTAATTTAGCAATACGAAATTTTGGCTCCTATTCTGCAAAATAATCTGAGCTATCAAACTTATGGCATCTACAAATAGCATCCATCTAGGTAATTTATTATAGTTATCATATGGGTGTCAATTAAAAGATAAATAAATTGGTACATAATGCCACTCCTTGATACTATATTGTGATTCAAATTCTATGTTATTCTGGTACGAGTAATAAGAGTTGCTAATCACTCATGCTTTTAACAATTTCAATATAAACTCAGCATATATTTTGCTTTCTTACCATATAAAAATTTACTTTAATGTGGTATGCAATCTAATTCCATCCAATTGTTAATGAAAATCATGTGAAGGCCTTTTCACTCTATTTCCATATTATTTTGTTAATTACTTTAAAGCACAAAATAACATTCATCAATAATCATTTAGAATATGAAAATTTTATGATATCAAATGATTTTCTTTGCCTATGGTCTCATTGCCCTCTACAATAACCTAATCTCAAACCCACAACTTTCATGTGTGTGTGTATGCTTGAGCATTTGAATTGGTGCCAATTTTGGAAATTAGGATCCGACAGATCCATGACAATAAAAGAAATCAGGATCTCATAAATTTTTGCAAAAGATGGAAATTATGACGCCACAACTTCATGGAAAGTAAATTAAAATTCCGCATATTCATGCGAGAAGAAAATCAATATCCCACGAATTCAAGCTTTAAAAAAGAAATCTAGATCCCACTGATTTAATACATCAAAGCATATTAGGTAGCCACGGATTTAAAATCAATATTTATTTATAAGTATAGCAACATTTCCTATTTTAGTATAGACTAGTTACCTTATGTCATTAGTAAATTAGTATATATATGTCATCTTAACCAAATATTTTGAGGAATAAGAAAATTTTCATGTTCTTCTTGGTTATTCATGTGGTACCAAAGTCACAAGCTCCTCTGATAGCATCTTAGCCTTCACTGCCTTAACATTCTCAACCTTAATCATTGTTTAACATCCTGGCATTTATTGTACAACTCAAAGAACTAGAACTTCTCATCGATCAGCATTGCTATCAACATCCTTGAAACCATTCGACAACACTTTCCTCTCATTAGCGCACTAACCTTTGCTCCACACTACACCGCTGAAATGTTAACTACGATTCTGCAAGGATCTAATGCCTCTGCATGGATTTTTTTCCTGCCGTACACAATTTCATCATGACACTAATATTCCTTCTAAACATCAGCCACTACTCCATGGTTTCTCATGCAGTTGACCCAGTCCTAGAACCATTGCAGCCTTTGCTTTTGCAGTAGTAAACACTTTGCTTTCTTCCAACAACCTCCTACAACTACAGTCTTTAACTTCAACGTTGATTGCAGCTGGTCCTTAAATTCTGGTCGCAATCCTTCTAACAGCCTTCATTGTTGCAGTCTATCTCTGTTGTTAAACATCTTGTTGCAGTTTTTCATCTTGCAGGTTCTTTCCAGTTTTGATCAATCACAACCATCACTATTGTGATAGCCCCCACAAGCTACTCCAAACGTGATTTTCTCCAGCAACAAAATTTTTGATCAAAAAGCACAGCAGCCTCTCTTTCCATGAACCTACAGCCTTACAATTCCATATTCTTTCATCATCCTCTGTTCTGCAGTCTACCCACCAAAATGGAAGACTGAAAAGGCCAACAGAGGTCTCAATCTCAAACTCACCAGGTAGAGCAGACCAGCCATAGTAAAGAATAGAAAGGTGGAATCAATTGAGGAGAGATTGAAAAACTCAAAGGCTTGATAGGATCTTCTAAGAAGAAAATTTCCAGGATATGCTCATTTGCACTCTCCGGTAAGTCTCTATTTCCTCTCAAGTAATTTGTTTAAAACAAGCATTTGGCCAAATCTTGGTTGATTGACTAAAGTGTCATAGATCACATGACAAACAACTCTAAATTTCAAAACATTTCATGCAAAAAATGTCCTTATGAAGCTCAATATTAAACAATAGTACTGTCACAGTCTATTTCTGGCATTACCAAGGATTTCACATGCTAAAAAAGCACAAATGACTTGAGTGAATTATCAGTCCAATGCAATTCAACCTCAAGAAACTATGGATTTAACACTAGGCTAATTTAAGTGCAATTTGATAACATTTACATGGCACTGCTTCATACCCATGTACTTTGTACTCATAGCATATCTAAATCAGAAATTAACGTTTAATATCAAATGAACAAAATTTATCAAGAAGATGAACAAAAACTAATATAATTATAACTCAAAACACAATTGTAGTCAAATAATTTTTAAAAAAAACAGAGATTTCACAATAGCAGGCACAATTGTTCAATACATAAAGAGAATAGAAAGAAAGGGTATTGTGATTGACGTTCACATATACAACTGCAGCCACATCTAGTCTATAAGAAATAAACTACTGAAAATTTGCAACTATTTTACCTCTTCTGCAATTCCCAACGTCGTTTCCTTTCAAGGATACGCTGTAGTGCACTCTTTGCTAATAGATAGACACCAAAAACTGTGAAACCCATAGAAGCAAACTGACACAACCTATAGACATTCACTAGTCATCCTTACCACGATAATGGAAATGTAAAGAAAGATGGGAACCAGAATAAGGAAAGCATACCTAGCCCATCTGCCAAGATTCGAGATTAGTTGATCAATATTCTTTGGCGTGACAAAAAAGGGCCCTTTATGCGGTCGCTGAATCCGAATTGTTCCAATATCATCTTTAATAGCCTGATGATAGCAAAGAAAACGGCACACTAAACTTAGTTGAAAGCAACAAAATACAAAAACAAAACTACAAATTCCATATTTTTGCGAGTAAACACATCTTTGGAATTAACCTTATAAATAAAAAATGATGAACAATATTAGATCATAATTAAAGTTCCTCTGCCTATTTTGGAATGAACCAAGCATGGCAATAAGATCATTATTAAAATACCAGTTTCAACAGCAGGAAAATAATGGAATCCTGGAACATTTGTATTAATCTCTATTACACTTAAGCCCACTATTCCCTTTGAAGTAACAAATATTTACTTGATAAATTCTACATACAACTATATCATCCTTGATGATAGATAACCATAGATATTCATATCAACTCCAGGATGTACCTCGCCAACTACAGTCAAGGGAGTACCAATTGGAAGAACTCTTTCAGTTCTCTTGACTCCAAGCATCTGCAGCATATAGTTGATCAAAATTTAAGAGAGATCTCATATACAGAATTCCTAATATACATAAATTTAGATATTGACAAACCTTAAGTCCTTGCAGATAATCCAATGTCCCGCGTACTAGAGACCGTCCCGATTCCTCAAACACTTCACTTGCAACTGTCAAGGCCAGGCCTGCAGCACCTCGAGCACCCACAACAAACGTACGTCCAGTCCCATCATCCTGGTGGCAAATGAATAAAGTAAATGATTTCATCCAAAATATTCAGTAGACAACAGTTTATTTTAGCTGAATGCCACAAATTACACATAATCATCACTCATCATAGCAAAAAAAAATTTAGCGCCCACAATTAACTCAACTTCAGAAGCATCTTTGCAGAAAATTCAATTGTGATCTACGTAGTAATTAGCATGGTTAAGTGAAAAAGAAATGTCCAAGTGCTCACTAGAAGTGACACAATTTTTTTTTAGCAGGGCATGTCCTAGGAGGGTGGGTTTTTTTTTAACTTTTATTAAGCTACTACAAACTGACATTTACTGCTTTGAGGGGTGGATATATGTTATTCTTAAGTAAAAGGTAGAAGAATATTTTTCTCTGTGTCCACCAGGCAATTGCTCCTAGAATGAAGGCAGTTAAGAGATGATAAAAAAGAAACAAGGTAGTACAAAAAGCAGATTTAGAAAATATAATGTGATATGATTGATATCTCTTTCAAGTAGCCAGAAGAATGTATGGTCATCAACTCATGACTATGGAAACATTTATGATTAAAAAAAAAAGCGAACAGCAGAGGTTAAGTTAAATTAGAAGTGTTTGTTTCTTAATTTAGTACTAAAAAGTTCAGATGTGCCACTTCTTCTAGCAGGTATATCAGCAAAAGAGATGGCTTCAAAAATTAAAAGACATGAAGAGTGATATTAGCAAGGTAGGCACGTTCAGAGACAACAAAATGTGTAGTATTTTGCAACTAGATAAGTAACTAAGTAGTAACAATTAGGTTACGGAAAAATAGCAAAATAAAAGGGTCAATCCCACCTTTTGCTAAAAAAACCTCCATATAAATGTCACATTTTTGTATAGCAATCCTACATATGAATTCATTTTCCTTAGATGTAGTCATGCAGAAATTAAAAGAGAAAATAGGTACTTGTAAATTTTATATATACACATGACAGCAACCATGCTTTAAATAAGCATATACATAAGATAGATGTGATAGCATATATTATGGCTTCTAATGTTAGCATAAAATACAAAGCTAAGAGATATGTATGCCTTCAAAGGCACTAATATTTATAACTATTAGTGGAATGATATGATTTTCCTAGGGAATTTTGAGTGCCATGCAAAATATAGCAAATAATTCACAGTTTCAAAGGAAAAGAAGGGAGTGAAAGCTTACAAGATACCATGGAACCTCTTTGCTCAAGGAAAGCATCAAAGCAGAATCCTGTATCCATGATCCAGCATCATTATGCTTCAGAAAATGTTGTTCTGCCTGAATAAATCATCAAACATGATATCCAAATGATTGCTTGAACTTCTATAACAAATTCAGCAAAAATAATGTTTCCACAAACAAGAGAAGGGGTATGTTACATACCGTCTCCTCAACTATCACGCCTCTCAAACCACTTTGTTCACAATGAATAGCCGTATCTGAACCAACTCGTCCAGAAACAGTAACGACAAGGGGTAAAACTTTGCAGGCAGTATCCAGAAGAACAGCTGGAGAACGAGAAAATACCTTATATGTATGCCTGAGTTAGCAAACTACTGTTAAAAACATTAGCTTTACTTCCTCACCTAGTTCTTTTAAAATAAATATACAGTTGAATCTTATCAAATAACATTTTTGTTAAGTGCATTTAAAATTTTTCTATGTACACAGCTGGCTAGAATCTTAGCAAAATAAGAGCAGAGAATGAAAGTTTCAATTAAAATATAACGCAATCATGATCATGGAATTAGAAAAACAACATCGACTGAAAAAATAAGTACTAACCCAGATCTTTCAGCTGATTAACTCTGGTCACCGACCTTAGAACGTCCGCATCCCTGGAAAAAAAAGAGCTAATTAACAATCGGTGAATAAAAAATGCATCGCGAAATAATAGCTACAATCCAAACATAACTCCCAAAATCAGTGAAAAAAGAAGTGGGAAGCACCTTCCGCTGCTCCTGCCCAGGAGATAGAGTGCAGCGGCACTCATGCAGCAGCCTAGACCGCCCCATGGACTCATCTTTCGCAACGGCCCGAGGCTCAACAAGAAAAAACCCTAGATTCTAGTGAATGGAAGCTCCTTCAGAAACAAAGCAATGGCTCGGACCAAACGAAGATTCCATGATAACGGGAACAGAAAGAAAATGAGACCTAGGTATTAAAAGAGAAATTTTGCCATCAGTCGTTTGGTTTCGATGTATGAAGGAGACGAATGAGAGAGAGAAAGAGACGTACCAAAACCAGGGAAGTTAAAAAGGCGAATGAGCTACAGGGCCAACAAGCAGCGCTACTTTACAGGCAAGGCATCGATGTTCCAATCAGGGCCAACAGGCAGTCTCCTTTTGTTTTAAATATTGTTTTCACAAAAAAATCTTTTACATGGTTAAAAATTAGAGTTTTTTTAGATTTCCATTGGGAAAGCTAGCATGGGAAAAAACAATGGGATGGCTATAGATGAAAATGGTGCAATATGTTGCCATTATTTTAAGAAAGAATGCATCAACCCAATATTATAATTGAATATGACATATCACTATTATACTAAGTTTATGGGATCATTTTTTAGAATTGGAGAGGAAATGTTTTTGAGCTAGAAGACCGATAAGGTGCTCAAAAATAAGAATTTCTTGGCATTTCTTATCAATAGAAACAAAAGTGTATTTTTAAAAATTTTTGCATTGTTGAATGATTAAAATAACTTAACTCAAAAGCTTTTCAATATGTTTTTAGATGATTTTCTCTATTATATCAGTGAATAGAGTTATTAAAGAGAACTTCTATCGGTTTGTTATATAACTACGTACTAGCATTTCCTTGCAATAACTATAAAAAAGAAAGTGAGTAACCCAATTTTTGAAGAGAGACAAAGAGAGGTAATGCAAGTAAAATTAGCTATATTTTAATTGATTCCACCACAGAAGGCTTGTTGTTAATGTTTAGGCATTAAAAAGTGGCTACATTAGGTTAGAGAATAATCAAATAAGATTGAAATGAAAATTAGATGCCCTGAACCCTCTTGTATGGCCTTTTAAATAAGAAGGAGCAAACTATTAAAGAAGAAGTTAACCTAATTTTTAATGAGGTTGACAAACTTTCTTTTATTTATTATTTAGTTTTTAATATCCAATATTAGTATAGGTGCCCCTTAGTTGGTTCTTCTACTTCTAGTTAGCTTCATTAACGATTAGTATATAGTTAAATCAAACTTAAATTATTACCCTTATTTTGTTTTAAATACCAAATTTATCTTTAACTAATTAATTGAAGTTTGATAAACCACAACAAGATTATCATTAACTTTGAAATAAATAAAAAAATTTTTATTAAAATTCACGGTACCTTGAGCCCACTTTTAGGACCTTTGAACATTTTAAGCTCAAAATTATAAGAATCATTTTAGAAACCTTTGAACTCTTTCATGACCACCATTAAGTTAAGAAGACTTGGTTAGTCCAATTTGATCAGATCAACTTATAACGGCCATAGAAGGCCCACTTAATCAAATAGAAATTTATTTTTCAAAAATTTGGTTCTCAATTAGCTTATATATATATGTAATTTCCAGTTATACTTAGGTAAATTTTGATGCACTCAAACCCCTTGGTCAGCTCTTTTCGATCAAATAATCTACATAAGTTCTTAAGAGTTTTAATGAGCTAACCCACCTGATGTTAGCTTATTTTACATCTAAAAAAGTGTAACAAACTCCAGTGATAAACTAAATATTGTTAAATCCATTTTGAGTTTTGATCAAAGTTAATTTAATCAAATGACCCATTCTTGGCTCATTAGGGTTTATAGGAGCCACACCAAGCTGAACTTTTGAAGTATTTCCAAATGAACAAAATGTAATTGGGGTTCATAATAAAATATTCTTGAAAAATTTTTAAAACTTAAAAATAAATCAATGGTCGCCATTAGCTCCCAACTAAGTCCATTGGATGCTAAAATGCTTTACTTATGTCCTTACAAAACTTCCTAAACCAACTCAAGTTTGGTGGAAATTTTTTGTATGTTTAATCGGTTGGATATTCACCATAAATCTTTAAAGATTTCTATCTAAATGATCAGATGCGTCATTTAAAGAATAATATACTACCATGAAGGACAGAAATATTACCTTAAAATAAATCTAATTACTTTGATTAAGAAAATCTTCAAGATTTATGGGTCTACATAATTATTTGTTTTTTGCCCACCTTACGGGTGTAAGAAGAGATTTATTTTACTAAGCCCTCATAATTAATTACACCTCAAGAGTTGTGACTCATAATAACACCCTCGAATAAAGTATTGGATTATGTCATGCATGATTACTCAGTAAATATCTGCAAAATTGATGTTTAGGACTTTAGATTTGATAGACTCAGAGTTAGAAAATATTTGGGTGGAATTAAAAGGTTGGGGCTTACAGTCTAATGATGATGTGTCATGAAAGGCCCGGGAAAAGGTTGAGACAACTTTGTGAAGAAGACTTATCCTGGGAATCATAATTCGATATGTTTGTCAAGAAGGGGATGATTTTTAGATTTGAAAAATTAGGTTTGGTTTAAAAGAATTTGATTTGGTTGATTTATTCTGGGTTGATTGTTGGCTGAAAAGAGTTAGACATGAATGATTCACTTGAGCTGAAATTTTGAGTTAGTTGGATTTAATTTTGTTTGAAACTTTATTTTCAGTTAATTTATTTTGATTGATTAGAGTTTGTTTTAAGCTATGAAGGTTGCTTGTTTAAAGTATATTTGAACTATTTTAAAATTTGTTTAAAAATGTTTGATTTGATTTGAGGGTGTTTGAGTTTGTTTGTTCATGTTTGTTTGTTTACTTGTTTGAAGTTTATTAGAGTTATTTGAAATTTATTTTTTATGTTAATTAAAATTATTTGATTCATTTAAAATTTATTTGGAGTTTTCTTAAGGTTTATTTGAGGTTTATTGAGATGTTTAAAATTTGTCTTGAAAATATTTGATTTATTTTAAGGTTATTAAAAGTTTATTTTAATTTATTTTAAAGTTATTAAAAGTTTGTTCTAAATTATTTAAAGTTTGTTAAGTTGTTAAAGTTTATAAAATTTTGAAGTTTTGGTTAAATTTGTTAAAGTTAGTAAAGTTGGATATAGGCTCGTTAAAGTTTGTTAAATTAATTAAGGTATGTTAAATTTATTAAAGTTGGTTAAAGTTTATTAAAGTTAGTTATAGTTTGTTGAGTTTGTTAAGGTTTGTTAAAGTTTGTTAAGGTTTGTTAAATTTGTTAAAGTCGTTTAAAGTGTGGCCCAAGAAAGCACAACCCTAGTTTAAGGCCATGTGCAAGTAGGTAGGGTGGTCCTCACACAAGTGAGGTCAACACCCAAAGCATGTAGCCCAAATCAACAACCCTACCCATGGCCCATGTGACCCAACCAACACTTACGCGTATTTTTAATCTTCTTAATTATGCCAAAAAAATACATCTCAATTTATATCTAGCGACTAGTGTGAACACTTACAATGATTTATGAATTATATAATAGATTTTCTCACTAAGGGTACTACGCAAGTATACATATCTTTTCAAGTAATATAGGATTTTCTTTAAAAACCTCGCATATCTTTTCAAGTAATATAGGATTTTCTTTAAAACCCTCGGTATCGATCCCACAAGGAATGCATTAACTCTTAAAATCAACTTACAAAAATTCAATTTAAATTGCAAATTAAAAAGGTAAAAGATTTAAAATGATATGCTTTATACTAAAAGAGCTAAAAAGAAAGTACAACTAAATGTAAAAGTTGCTTAGCAAAATATAACAACGAGTTTGAATATTATGAAAAACCTTTCCCCTTGCAAAGATATTTTAATATATGTATGATTGAAATGATTTAAGACAAAATTGAGGTAGTATGATAAATAAAAGCATACATTATTTTTTACTCCCTCCTGAAGCTTGTAAAGAACATTAGTTAACTTAAGGTCGATTCCTTGACATCTCGACTCCACATCAGTGCTATCTAGCCTCTCACCTCTAGATGCCCCTAGCCTATGCCATCGTAATGACCGAATCCCAGCGTCAGGGTATTAAACCTTAAGCCAAATTGCTAAGAATCTAGCCTATCACTCTAGATCTAACCAATTCTACGCCCATCAAAACTTATCTTCCTATTTATTTGCACTCCCCCTTAGGTGATCGCAATGGCTTTGCCTAGAATGAAGCATGGTATCCACTAGTAGGATGAAATCATAGCCCTCCCAGGTAATTTTGTTTCTCAATGGATTTTAACCTCACAAGTGGCCAGTTTGTAAATTAAATGAAGATTCGGTGAAAATACCATCCCAATTTTTAAGAGTAAAAAGAAATTGTTAAATCATTCTCATCCCAAAAGATTAAGTCTCATATGCAAGAAGAAAGAAAGGGAACTACTCAAAATCCATGGAGATTAATAAAAAATAAAGCATTTGCATTAAAATCTAAGTCTTACAACAAAAACTCAAACAAAAATACAAAATACCTTATATCTTCTCCTCAAGCAAATTTCTAGAGATTCCTCTAAGCAATTTTCAAACTTCTTCACACTAAAACACACTCAAACTTATACTTGAGTACAAAATATAAAAAACCTAACTCACTATTACCGCCTAATTGAATTTTTGAGGCTCCAAAAGGTCTCTAGATTTGGCCAAATCCTTCTCATTAAATAGAAAACATATAATAAACAAGGGTTGCTTCAAACACCCCTCCAAAATTCGACCAAATTTGATGTATTTTCTAGAAAGGTAGTTACTGACACTATAGCACCAGTCTGGGATGCTATAGCGCCCTTCTCGCTCGACCATGGTACTATGACACCAAGGGGTGGCGCTATTGCACCACATAAAAATCATCATTTTTGCTCTACTTTTCCTCATTTTCTCTAAATGTCCATTTCATGTACCTGAAACCAAAAACATGCAAAATATATTCCTTTAAAATGAAATATAATAAAAAAATGTACATAAAATGCTTATAAAATATGCACTAAAAATAGGTTATTTTGAGGTGAATCACCATGGTCCATTCTTAATGGGTCATCCATGACTCAATGGCCACCTAGCATGACTTGGAGGCATGGTCTTATACATCATAGTTCATCATAAGAGGTGAGACACATGTCACCTTACACAACACTCACCCTAAGCCACCTTGAACTCGTTTTTTGTGATCACCTGATCTGGGTTATCTACCTAAATCCCTGCAGATTAGCTTAAGATCTCCCCAATAATCTTCCTTTTTTCCAAACTCACAACCATGATGAACCTACCATGGAAAATTGAAATTTGACTCTGCATTGGTCTGTCGGCACTATTTT